CATACTGAGTCACTCCATACTGAGTCACTCCACACTGAGTCACTCCATACTAAGTCACTAAGTAATCATGATGCTCCGTCCTACACAGTGCTGTCAGTGTTAAAGTGTTTTCAGTTCGTCGTTCGGTTTGGTCACCGTCCTCCTCCTCCTCCTCCTCCTAATGTTTTCCTGCAGCTGAACAAAGGATGGTTCTGGCTGCAGACAATCGCAAAAGAGAGTTTCAGGAGGAGAAGGGGAACGAGTTTGAGGATTTCGATGAAGAGGAGGAAGACGATGGTAAGAGGATGATGAATCTCTGTATCTACGAGGTCGAACGCAGCAGAAGATCACGTTCAAAAAATGCGTTTACTCTTCCAGAAGAGAGTGAGACGACCACGCAGAACACAGAGCAGTGGGGAGAACTCAGCTACGAGGGGACGGATCCTCCTCAGGACAACGACGGCCACGCCGCCTGAGCAGGCCCACGGTGAGGGAGAAGTTTGAAGTTTGAAGTTTGAGCTGACAGCTTACTGAAAAGAGAACACCAACACTCTCAAAAAAAAAAAAAAATCAAACGTGATTTATGATAAACACCAACACTCTCAAAAAAAGAAAGAAAAAAAAAATCAAACGTGATTTATGAATTTGATCTGATCCTGTTTCTGACTTCAGTTTCTTTAATCTATTCCTATCATCATGTACCGTGATCATTTGTCGAACGTTTCCTCTTGGTGTTAAACCTTAATGAAGTAAAAGTTTCACGTCTTTTTTTTAAAAAGACAATTCCTGGATTGATGTTATTATTTCAGCTTAAAACTTTTTTTTTTTTTATGTCTGAAACTGTCCATGACTTTGTTCTGTATGTGCAGAAGTCCAGGGAAAGATGGGCTTTGACCTAAAATTGGGACATGAGGCTTAGTTTTAGCAGTTATTCCATTCTTTATTTCACTGCTTCGTTATCGTCTTTTATAGCTTTTCCCATTTTTTAAATTTTTTTTAGTTTTAAAAAGCAGAAAACACATCTTGAAATGCTGGGATGTTCATTTGTCTCAAATTAGGTAAAAATCCAGTGAGACGATTCATGTTGTAATGGATTATTGACTTTTTCCTTGTCTAAGTTCGTGTTGTTACACATTCATCTTCTGAGAATATATGTGAGGTTGCGCAGCACAAGCCTTTGGAAATTAAAAATATAAATAATAATTTACAGGACCACATATACAGCAGAGAAAACAGAACATTTACACTCACGTCAACATCCACAGCGTCCAGTTCACTCCAACTCCAGCCTTGTCCTTGGACTGTGGGACGAAACCACCGAGCACCTGGAGGAAAGACAAGACAAAGACAGGACGTGAAAAAGTCAAAGTCAAACGGTTTAATCGGCCAGTGTTTCAAAATAAGGTTCGAGTTCCCCTAATGTGACAGCTCCACGATCAGAGAGCCACCCAGTGGTCACAATGGGCATGACAAGTGTGGCATATTCTGAACTGTGCAACTGTGCTGTACAGAGCAGCTGCAGCTCAGATAGATAAAAATGTATTTTATCCTAAATATGTACACGTGTGTGCAAAATATATTACCTTACATTTTACTTGATTTTGACATAAAGCCGAGTTCCTCGGTGAAGACCGTACAAATTATTTTCATTCACTGCTTTCGTTCACTTCCTACAAAATCACAATGACGCGTGAAAAAAGTGTCTTTTTTTTTTAATACATGAATTTCTACACGTTCAAAGAACATTTCAGAGACAATATGTATAACATGCATACCAAGGATCTGTAAACGCACCATTATTCACTTTTCTTTTTTTTTGGAGAGGAACAAGGAGAGGGTATCAGGAGGGACGAAATAAATATTAAAGACCCTAGTCGACAGTGTGGTGGTGGTGGTGGTGGTCTGTATTTACACTGAATAAAGGCCAAAAGTCCGTCTTCACAACACAACTCTCCGTCTCGGCCACCGAGGGTGATTCATCTCTTCTCTCTGCAGTGTGAGTGAGGGAGGGAGGGGAGAGTCTTCCTGCTAAATTCAACAGGCCGGTATGAAAGCACAGTGATTAAACACAGAGAGGGAGCCACGCCACTGATGTGATGGCTCTACAATGGGAGCGATTGTTGTGAGGATACAGTACACTGCAATCATTTTGATCCATTTTTTTTTTTTTTAGCGCCGACATGAATGTGCACTTCACCGACGAACACTCTTTTTGTAGCACGTATCGAAGCTTGTCATGCACTGGGGAAAAGTTGAGGAAAAAACTCGACTCAACTGGCCATCAATCAAAATCGAGTTTCAAGCTGGATTAAAGCTGTGGGTAATTACATGTTTTCAACTTTCATACTTTCAGTCATATGTTTTGAGTTTATAGTTTTGCCAGTCGATACGTACGTTGGTTAAAGGGTTTACTTACAGTTAAAAAAAAAACAAAAACGTTAAAAAATAATAATAAGGGTGTTTTTACTAGGTTTCGTCCATTCGTGTTAGCATATTTGTCAATAACTGATAAATAATTGTGAGATTTTTTTTTTTTCATTAACTCAATCTTTCCTACGAGTGCGAACGCTCGTTTTCTCATTCGCTCGTGCAAGTTAAGAGAATCAAAATGGAAGGTCAATCTTCGACGCGCAGTGAACTCGCACAACTGTTATCAAACCGATCGAACGTGGTCACAGAGAGAGGATTTACAAGCTATTTTTACAGACACTTCTGCCTCGATATTTCCACCTTCCTCGTTGTTTTTACATTTGTAAAAAAAAAAAAAAAAAAAATCAATTATGTTGTGCAATTGATGCTCAGATGTTGGTAACCACGGATTGAAACCTGCCAAACTGTTTTCAGCCCTGAATCCATCCCTCTGCGGCAGAACCTGACCTCTCTGAGAGCAGTTTTTTGGACAGAATCATGTTGAAGCAACATCCCTGAGAACTGGTCACAAAGCAACAACGCATGGGAGCCCTCCTGTGGTCAGAGAGGTCATCGCAGTCACAAAGAAGTGATTGATCAAAGAAAGCAGTCGTTACAAAAGAACAGCTTTTTACACATCGTGTCTTTAACATTGAATGTCTTCGTCAGTTCCATTATACATTTGTCAAAGTAGATTTTCCAGAAAGAAAAAAAAAAGTTAGAATATATTGTGAAAGAAAATAATCAATCCAGTATATATGTGTGCTCGGTGATTACACACACACACACACACTCCTGCTTGTGTATCCTGGTGTTCCAGACACTTTAAAGCACACAGATTATACATACCGTCATGCTGCTGTCAGAACCCTGTGAGCCTTTGTAGCCAGAAGCACAGCAAATCAAACCCGGCGGTCAAAATGACATGGAGTCGCAGATGATGTCACAATGAGTTACCACAACGGGAAAGCTCAACGTATAACGTTACGTCACGGTTCAAAGATATTTACACAAGGCATACAGAAGAGTGCGGAGACGCTCAGTCACGGATGAAAGCAGCTTCGATAAAAGATTTCCCTTCCCTCCGGCGCGGCACTTCTCAGACCAGCAGGACGTGACTGAAAAACATCGTGATCCAGGCTGATAATGGCTTCCACAACTAAAACTTTTGGTGATTAACCCTCTTCCTTTTCTGTACCTCGAGGTCTGAGTCACAGAGGACATCAAGGCAGTGGAGATCCTTGACTGACCATGGTAAATGGAACTGCGCCAACGCTCCCTAAATTCCTCCCCCTGGTTGGCAGAAACAGTCGGGAGGCTGCGGGATGGGCAAACTGGGCAACGGCATTAAAATGACGAGACCTCGGACGGTTCGGTCCTGTCTCAGAGCTCCGTGGTTTCCCAGCTCACCTCCCGCGGAACCTGGCGTCATTTAGTCCCCGTGTGGATGACCGTCACGGTGGAGGGTCGTGGCCGCGATTGGTCGGCCACAGTTGTTGGTTCTTCACATTCAGGAGATGGAGCGTCACAGTCCTGATTGAACACTTTGACAGTGGAGGAAAGAGGAGCAACTGGAGGAGGACCTGGGGAACAGAGGTGGACGGTCAGAGAAAAGAAAAAGAATGCAAAGAAGATTTTTAACAACATGTTCTGTTGTTCCAACAACTCTGTGAAGCTGAATCGCTGATTATACTTTTGCATTTTTCCATATTAATAATTCCTTCATTTGGATTAGCCAGAAATAAAAAAACAAGTCTGAAACACCCACACTTCTACTTGCTGTTATTTGTCTTTCTGTTCCAGCAATACACAGAAAAACGATTTCAGACTCTTGATTTAAATCCATTGGTCATGATTAATTACCAGAGGTGGGACCAAGTCATTGCTTTGCAAGTCACAAGTAAGTCTCAAGTCTTTGCACTCAAGTCCGAGTCAAGTCTCAAGTCAAGACAGGC